GCCAGAATGCGTGAATAAGTTGAACTGGGCGCATGAAATTGATTAACGTCGCTCAACTGTTTCCTACGGGATAGAACAAATGAGTCCGCCGACTGGATCACATGACAAGTCAATCAGTCGCAGTTGCGTGAACAACACGACGCTGGTGGTGGTGGTGCCAAGTGTGGGACCACCAATGGCAGTGTGCGTATATACTTTACGTGGTGCAGGGCATGCAGCCCAATAAACTACAAAACTCAAACAACCATAGCTTACAAGTTCACTGAATGTTTGAAGTCCCACGCACAATGGAGCACTGATCAAGCTGGAGAGCACAGCTATTCTGTTGGTTCGAAATATTGGAGACTGGTGTTTGTTTGCTGGCTGACTGGTATGTTTGAACGATTGCCTCATCATCGGAGTAATACATGTTTTCTAAACGTTCGCCCACCCTATGCTAAATTGCTTTGCAGATTGAATTACTCACGATAAACTTTGAACAGCTTCATATGAAAAAAAGCCATATACGATTCCAGTTGGGCAGTTCAACACTGTTTACCTGCTTTCTGTCAAACTATTGGTACGAATATTATCAAATATATTTTTCTTCTATTCATTCAGATTTTATTGCTTTGCACAAAAATATGCTAACTTTGTATTAGTTCAAAAATGGCATTTACCGGATTGTATTCAAACCCCCATAGTATTGATACTTAGTTACAAAAATCGCATGAGCCTCTGCGGCTGACTCTGGTGTTTATCAAATTTTCACTCAAACCGGGCGAGAACGGGAATGGAATGCCCAAATGTGTTGTCCACAGAATCTTTTCCATCGCCTATTTTTGATGCATATTCCAGGGAAACCATGATCGATTGACTTTAGACAACCTTATATCATCTCTTTCCATAACTGCTGAATACGGCAGTTAGGGCACAATTATATCTGGGAACCCCCCCCACACACACACACACAGAGGCATGCACGCACACTCAACCTCCTGGAAATACAAATATCGTGGAAGTTTTGACCCTGGACTTTCGAAATACCCAACGAAGAATTCCGTTGATATCGATATCGATATCGATATATCATGCGCATTCTTCTTTAGTTCAACCCATTATTGATGTGAGATGGAACAGGTGGTAAGCAACCTAGGTTTTGACGTTAATTTACTGACAGCGGAATACACATTGGTAGACAAACGACCTTCGCATTGTTCTTACTTCACCGGGTCTTGTGAAACAGTTCTGATATAGAACAATCAAAAGTTGAATGTTTTTCACCACTAACGAACCTGCATATACCATTCTCATTCCGCAACTCACGAGGTCATGTGATCACCATGGGATCCATTTTGCACAGACTTTTGTTTTCAACTTTATCTTCTTTGAGAATCGTTTCTCACCGGATTTATCTATTATCTGGAAACGTTTTCTACAACACATTATTCTAATCTTTCCCGTTCCTAATTGTTGTCAGGTATACTGGACATGCTGTGACTATGTCATCAAAAAATTNCTATGGGAAAGCAACTATTATAGTGAAAATAATTAATTGAATAATGGCGAATTACTACCCATAAATAACTGAAATACTCACTTCGCACCTGGCCTGTACCAATCTCTGTAGGTACTGGTTGTGAATGGTAGCAAAGCGAAATATGACATAATTACATTGCTCAAAAGGTAACTGTAAATGTTAACTTTCAGGAAGGGGGCCGCGGCCATACAGGGGATGCCTGG